AAATCAGGAAAATCCCCTCTTCCCAATTCCCCCCTCAGGAAACACAAAATAACCGAATTTTTTTTTATTACACGGAGAGATTTCTACAGAAACAGGGAACAGTCAATAGGGGAAACAGGGTTTTGGGTTGGGTTCGTTGGTTTGGGGTTTTTTTGGTTTGTTTTTTTTTTTTTTTCCAATGCATATAATAAATATTTTTCACTCGGTGCTTTTATACAAACGGACATTGGGCTACCGTACATTTGTAAATCCATGGATTGGTTTGGCATGCCCTAGGGAACAGGAAGAGGAAAGGTTTAAGGCAATGGATGACAGCTTTCAATTCATGGAATTCACGGTCATTTTCATATTTATTTACATTTTTTTCCCCCCCTTTTGTTAATTCAGCAGCAGCAGCACTTTCGGGGACCACCAGTGATTTTTTTTTCCCTTGTTAGAAATCTAAGTTCTGTTTAAAAAATGAAAAAAATAAAATAAAATAAAAATAAAATGACACCGCTAAACCAAAATCTTCCCGACTAAAACGCGCTTCAAACCCTGAAATGTTAAAAACGGAGTTTCTGAGTTTTCAGAACGTTCTCCTGGGCTCTGCAGCTCCGCGAGAATCCGAGGGGATCTGGGAGCGCGGCAGGCACGGGATCCTCGCGGGGAGAGGAAGAGGAGCCTGGAATTGCGGCTCTGTCACCGCGGGGGTTATTATGGGATGGCTCGGGGGCAATTCCCAGCTCCCAAAGGACGGGACAGGGGCGGCTGCAGCCGGGCCCTGCTGCACGGACACCTGGGATGTCCCAGGTGTGACACTGTGTGACACCTGTGTGCACATCCCGGATGTGAGAGTGTGTGACACACCTGTGTGATGTCCCAGATGTGAGAGTGTGTGACACCTGTGTGATGTCCCAGGTGTGTGTGTGACACCTGTGTGCACATCCCAGATGTGAATGTGACACCTGTGTGATGTCCCAGATGTGTGTGTGACACCTGTGTGCACATCCCGGATGTGAATGTGTGTGACACACCTGTGTGATGTCCCAGGTGTGACACGGTGTGACACCTGTGTGCACATCCCAGATGTGAATGTGTGTGACACCTGTGTGATGTCCCAGATGTGTGTGTGACACCTGTGTGCACACCCCAGATGTGTGAATGTCTGACACACCTGTGTGCACACCCCAGATGTGTGTGCATGTCTGACACACCTGTGTGCACACCCCAGGTGTGTGTGCATGTCTGACACACCTGTGCACACCCCAAAACCCACGAACCCATCCCAGATGTGTGCGCACCCCACAGACACATCACAGCCCACGCACACATCTGTGTCCCAGATGTGCA